TTGGCCAATCTAGTGGCCTCCTGATCGGCTATCCTAGCCACCTGCATCTCAGATAACGCAGTCAGGACAGGATCCGGCTGATCCTCAGTGGTCTCGCGGTTTCTCTTAGGTATTACCATGACTCTGCACAAGTTACAAAAAGAATGAGTTGATCAGGCCCATGCAATGTGGTCACACATGCATCATCATAGCAAAACCCATCAGAGGAAACACACAAAACAGACTCGCAACCTAACATCCTAAGTTATTGCAATACATGCAGGCTTTTCCCTAGAAAGTGCTCTGATACCATAAAATGTAACGCCTCGTGCATGCCCGGTTTGTTAACATGTCATCGTATTAAGTCACGCTTAATTAAAAATGCGAAATATTCTTTTTCTTTTCAATTATGACATCATTATCATTACCAAGTTGAATTACTTAATTCATTTCCAAAATATTGCCTGTATGTAAATTGCAAAGTAGACAACTAAAAGAAATACCTCAATATATAATTAACTGTGAGTCTCTAAAATCACGGAACCACACCACGTAGCCCAGACATAATCTTGATACATTATTACATCTCAGATCTAAACTAAAAGATAGTCAATCAATGTGGCATGGACAATCCCCATACTCACCAAATAAGGCAACAAAGCCAAACATAGTCTTAACAACAACATAATAATAACAAGCTAAAGGCATATCATCAGCAGATATAATCCAGCATCCAAACATATCATCATATAAACAGCAATATCAGCTAAGCTCCGGCCTCCTGCCGCTAGAGGTCTCAACCCTCGCATTACCTGAACCTGAAATATGTACCCCAAACGTAGGGTGAGATCTCTAAACAGAAATCTCAGCAAGACAAAGGGTCCTCAAGGATTTTCCACCCCAAGCTCACTTACATGTGCAATATAATTTCTAAAAATAGTAATTCAACATCAGTTCCAAAATCAGTGCAATGCAGCTGATAATCATGTCATGTGTGTTATAACTATTCTACTGATCAGAGAAGTGCAGGAATACGTCTATTACCCACACAGTACCAGCCCATGCTGTACTCGTCCCCAGGACCACCCCATGGCTTTCTGCCTAGGCGAAACACCACATACATATCATATGCATTTTGCACTTAACAGCTTCATAGCATTTTAATAAAACAGTACATGAAAACACATCATGCATATAACCATCCCCCCATGGGACATGGTGGAACATACAATGGCTAAACCGAGGACACAAAAGCTTACATTTCAAGCTAGCTATCCAAACTAAGAATCCAACCAAGCTCAAAGTCCACACACAGCACAATCACAATCTGTTTTGGACCAACAATAATATCAACAACCATAGCTCATAAGCATATACATAAAGACAACGCTTCTCTTTTACGTTTCATGTCTTAAGGCTCCTCACATAGCCACAAGCCCTTAATCCCTAGATTTTAACTTAGATAAGTTATTATAGAAGTCCAACTTCATCAATCTAGAGTCAACAAACCCCAAATACAATTTGTATGAACAGTACCATTATTATTCACACAAACCCAGAATATCCGGATATTTGTCGGGGACATATCCGAATATCAATATCCGAATATCTGTCTGGCAATATCCGGATATCAATATCCGGATATTCAGAACCCCATATCCGGATATTCATATCCGGATATCAATATCCGGATATTTCTAACCCAATATCCAGATACTTCGCGGTAGAACTCATATTCTGCATTTCGCGAGATATCAATCCAAAGGTTCGATTTTTACCGATCACAGAAGCTAAAACATGCATTTTAAGGTGTGTTTAACCTTACCCAACCACAAGTTATTAACTTTAGTTCATTACATGCATCAAGGTTCCATTTTTAACCATCAAAACTCATGATCAAAGGTTGAGTATGATTACCAAGCTCCCAAAACAGCAGTGATTTGGAGCTTCCAATGCCACTCCACAGAGCAGCAACCAAAGAGCCACGAAAATGCACTTCAAGGTGGGTCCTTTCTTCACAAATGTTACCACTTGAAGCTCCCACAACCAAGAGAAGGCTCCAACAACACAACCCAAGAACTCAGCCCCACACCCTCACACAAGACAACACCCTCAACTCAGAAGATGACACCTTTCATCCTCACCAATGCTCACACCCAAGTGTTTACTTGTTTAGAGGTGAAGAAATCAAAGAAATGAGGTGGCTTGGAGGTTTTCAATGCAAGGAGACCATGGAAGAGAGGGTGGTAGCAGCTTTTCAGAAAAACTCTACGTAAGAGGCACAATAATCTAACCTAGAAGTGTGTGCCATGCCCTTAAATAGTCCACTTAAGCCTTAAACACATTGTATTAGTATTAATAGTTACGCTTAACATTTTAATCCCAAACTTAGGATTCAGAACCTACTCATTTTGCTAAATTTTTTTATATTTTTATTTTATTTTTCGCAGGATCTTTCTAGTACGCGCTTTTCCATAGCCAATATCAGTTCTGGCACCAGTTCTCATTATTTTAACTTGAAACTTATTTTGGTGGTCCTACATATTATTCTAGTGACATATACACACTTTTCATAATTTTCCGGGATACTTCATCGGTACGCATTTATACCGAGTAGAAGAACCAGTATTGCATTTTTTGCCAGAAAAGCGACTTTTAGCATTCTTAATCACTTACCAATATTATTTAGGCCTTATGATAATTATTTGGGTCAATTATGGAATTGTTTCCTAATTTCTCACAATTAATTAATTAACTTCCTTAATTAACAGTGTGGGTCCTTACATAATGCTTGTGGCAGTTACTGCTATTGTAGCTGTGGAGAGGAAGCACCTATTTAGTGGGTCTGGGGGGGCTACCCGAGGGAGGTAGTATCCCAACGTCAGGTATTTTGGTATCTTACCTTGGGGACACTGCAATGTTAGGACAGAAAGAAGGGAGGGTTGGAAATCCTTGGTCTATAGGGCTAATATGGATGAGAGGAGGGGGTTTGGGTCTTCCTTTGGGGCCATCCTCTAGAACAATATGGAAAAAACATTTGTTATTTTAAATAATATAATTTTGTATCATTTCAAATGAAATAAATATATTTTAGTATATATTTATTAGCGGTGTTCATCAACCGATTCAAACCGCGGTGACTGAATCGAAAAATTGAAAATCGATAACTGAACAAATCGAAAACCAAAAAATCAAAAAAAAAAAAAAAACCGCAAATTTTAATTTGATTGGATCGATTTTCGGATTGATTGATGAAAATCGATCTAATATATTAATTCTCCTCTACTTACTTGGGCCTTTCCCCAATCATAATTCAAAAATTTCTAAACCCAAGATCCATTAATCCATCAACTAAACCCAAGAAAAAGTCTAGTCATATCTCATCAACAAAATTCCATCTATGTAGAGTTTCATATCTCATTGCAACAAAAAAAACTATTATCGTTTAACGATGTTTTTGTATTTCAAAAAAAATAAATTTATAAAGCCAATATGTACAAAAAATATTATTTGCACAATAATCATGAAACAAATTTTAGGATTTTCAAAAATTCGAAAACCAATCCAATCCAAACCGAAAAAAATTGGATTGGATCGGGTTTAAAAAAAATTCAAACCGAATGTATGATTATATGATCAAACCGAAAGAATTAGATCATATGATTTTTGCTTCCAAAACCGATCCAATCCAGACCGTGAACACCCCTAATATTTATTAACTTTTTACACTCTCACTCCTTCACAAAATTAAAAGAAAAGAGAAAGATAAAATATTTTGGAGAATAGAACAATGGGGAATATCTTACACAATTAAGTATTATGCCGGGGAGAGAATATAAAAGATCAATAAATATTTACTAAAACACGTTCGTCTCGTTTTACTAAAAATAATACGAAATTAAATCTTTTAAAATGATAAATATTTTTTCGTTAAATTAAATCAGATAAAAAATGTTGATTGAGATAAATGGATCAGGGTCAGATCTAATTGGACTAACCTATTTGGGCTAGTAACGGTTTTGGGTCGGGAGCAGACCTACTTTCGTTAATGGAAACGGCCCATGAAAATCTAGGCTCAACATTAAACTGTTTTTGGTAGAATAGATTGGGCTTACAAACTGAATCAATCTTCAAACAGTAGTGATGGGCTATAGAACCAAATCATCAAAAGATATATACTTATCATGTTTGACAGCAAAATATTTTACTAATTTTCTTTATTCAGATTATTTTATTTATTTTCTAAAACACCCAATTCATCAATTCTTATAAGTTAGCACTTAAGAGGCGCTAGTACTTTAACCAAAATTTATAAACAAGTATTAAAAAAAGGAAGAAATATTTATCCTTTTAAAGGAGGGTTCTTTTAGTTAAAAGTAATATTTTTTATTTAAAATTTAAATAAAAAAATCTCTCACTTTCGTCATAATTTTTATTATCTATTTCTTTTTCTCGTTTAAAATAACATAATTTTATATCTATTAAAAGGATAAACCCTAATCCCTAAAAAAAGAGTTCGGTTGAGATTGTATATTTATTTACTTTTTATTTTTAATACATATACATTTTGGACCAATGAGAAATAATATGTATATATTAAAAATGTGCAAAATAACTACTATTTCTTGCAATATTTTCAATTATTTACTTAGTTTTAATTTTCAAATTATCTGTATTGAAAAAGAATATAAACAGTTAATTAAATGTAGGAACTAATAATGAAGAATGTGAATATGATCCAACATTAATGCTACATTTAATTGGAAGTCACAACGTGGAAGCACATGCAAATGTGTGCGTGATCTGTGCATTGGTTGGTAAGGGGCATCTTAGATTCACCTACGTTCATACATATGATTTCATACGTGTGTTAAAAGTACGATTCTAAGCATGTAACAGTGACAAAGATTCACAACCACGTGGCTAGAAGACAATGTCAATTTGAATCCTTCACTTTGGGAAATTTTGGACCTCATAAATTTGTCTGGTTAAGGTTCACACACACCCTTCAAAAATCTCACACCCTCTTCATCTCTCTCTATAGTTTACTTTTCCTTACACCCAATTGCCTTCTCTTTCTCTTCTTCAACTTTCACACAAACACTGCATGCGTCTTTGACTACAACTTCTTCAATTTCCAACTTTCTTGTTTACCCACTATCCCTACCTTGGTGTTTTTTGTTTTGGTGTGCATCCATCTCTTTATTTATTGAGTTAGTTTCACTGTCTTTTGACACCATTTTTTCATCTGGGTGTTTTTTGGAGTTGTTGTTCTTGTTGTTGTTGTTTAACTTGGCTTTGTGAGAGAAGATGGTTGGTGCTCTATCTGTTGTGGGTTCATCAGTGTTGGACTCTCACACTGGTCCATGTTTGTGTGTGGATGCTCTTCCCACAACTAGTGTCAATCTAAGGAGTGGTGGAGATGTTGTTTTGTGGAAGAATTTGATGGGAAAGAAGCACTTGTTGAGGCGTGGAACTATGGAGTTGAACAGTTCCTTCACTGATCCTGGAAGGGGGTGGAGGCTCTGTGTTAGCAGAAGTTGCAAGAAGCAGCGCAGGGATAGGAGATTCACCATTGTCAATGAGCTTGGTGGCCAGTATGATGACAACTTTGAAGATGTTAAAACGGTAATATAATCAATATTTTTGGGGGGTTAAACTCTCAGATCCCAATGTTTGAAACATACCATTTCTAATTTGGTTTCTGTTTTTATTATGTTCAATTTCTCCTTTACCATCATTGCTTTGTTTTACTTTTTGGACATAGGTTAAAGTTGCTTATAACATATTCTAAGAGATTCTAGTCAGTAGCCAGAGCTTTTGGACATTGTACCATTATGGAAAATGTCATTTATTAGATAATTATAAGTTGTAGCTTGTAATAGGAGTCCTTAGAGAAGCTTTAAAATTATTGCTGTTTCCATGAAAAGATTAATTAACCAACTCCAATTCCTTTTCTTGCTTACATTAGATGAAAGCACGGAAATTATTTATCTCAACATGAAATATGTTAAGAAGGAAATAGAGGTACTAGAAAGAGTAATTGATATATAATAATAAAGGTTTAACAAAGGTTTTAATTTATGGGTAAAGGATTTCTCCAGTCAATAGAGCTAAGTTATCTCCGGTGAGTCCAAAACGACGTCGTTTTAGGACGGAAATCAAGGTGTTTTCGTAATTATAATATATTGCAGGGTTATATTAGTCTTTATCATTATAATTTTTTAATCTTATAACCCAAAACGACGTCATTTTGAGCTTACCGGAGATAACTTTATCTCCGGTGACTGGAGAAATATTTTTCCCTTAATATGTAACAAAATATTACAGTTTTCCTTGTGAATTTCCTCAAATTTTCAATTTGCATGTTAGTGCTGATTTTCTCAAGATGCTGCTTTGAAATTTTCTCCATTAGAAAGATGAGATCTGCTTCCTACAAAGCCAGCTTGCATTCTTAAATAAGAGGAGGATCATTTTCAAGAATTATGAGTCTTTTTTATATTAAATGAGAATATTGACTATTTTAACATATCTTCCATTAACCATCACTAATATGAAAACTGTTGTAATCTTTGTATGCAATCTAACTGACCTCATCTATGGAAACAGCAAATGCTCAACTATTTCACGTACAAAGCTGTGAGGACCGTTCTTCAGCAGTTGTATGAGATGAATCCACCTAAATATACATGGTTCTATAAGTAAGTTAAATCTTTATTGTAGGAACAATGTTTCAACCATAACTTCTATGCCCTTGTAATTATTTTTGTTTGAAAATGATTTTCATGTGTAATAGCATGTTAAGGGTGCACTTGTTTTTTTTTTTTTTTTTAAGGTGATGTTGATTTTTAGTTGATATGTTTTCTATTTATAATTACAAAATCATCATTTTTCTTACATTTCCTTGTAAAGAAAATCATGAAAACAAGATTTGTTATTTTTACTATTTCTTTTGCAAAGTTATACAATATGAAGCAAGTGAAGACAACAGGATATTGTTAGAATTATTAGTATAAAGGATTAATGTTTATCATGTTGTACAAGATTTGATCAATTTAAGCAGGTTCAGTATGATTATTAAACTCGAACCTGGTGATTCAATAGCTTTTTCACAATTATATTCTTGATCCTGGAAGATTTTAGTCAATCTGTCTTTAATTATGCCAAAATTACACGTCTATGGGAAATCTTAATTTTGTTAAAAGATATACCAATCAACAGGTAAGCACATTTTGCAATTTTGACCATATTTATTTGCATCTTCCTAGAGCTTTACAATTTAATAGTAAAGGTAATTATTTAGATAATTGTTGGTTGTGTTTTATGTATTGGCAGTTTTGTTGCATCAAACAAACCAGCAGATGGGAAACGTTTTATCCGGTCCCTTGGAAAGGTGAATCTTTCATACCCTAGTTAGTTATTTCATTTGTCGAGAATTTTCAGTAAAAAATAAGGTATGTTATTATGGCTTCTGTCCTTTGATTTCAAGTACCCTACTAAATATAGCACCATACTCAAAATTTCAAGTGCATATTCTCTTCAGTCCAATTATACATGGCACATCCACATAGGAAACAATAGGAGTGCTAATACTAGATATTTAGTGTCAGCTACATAAATCTTAAGATTGAAACTATTTTGGAGTTTGGATGCCCTTTACATATTCTTGTGCTCTATCCATTATCTATACAAAATATTATTACCTCACAATATTATTGTGTTTGCTTCCCCTAATATTCAGATCCCTTCTTTTAACCTCTACCCATGTCAATTTTATTTTATTTTTTTGCCTCAGGCTCTCTTGAATTCCCTACTATAACTTTTGCAATCTCCCTCACTTGGACATTTGCATCTCTATGTTATTTTTGCTGAAAACATCTTCAATAGTTGTTCCCCTCCTTTTATATTCTATCAAATTACCAATGCAACTTATGCTTCTGATGGGTTATACCCTTCCTTCTATCAGAAAGTATGTTCTTCATTCCACTTTCCAAACATGAACTTGACAAACTCGGTCTTGGTCCAAGTTGAGTCGAGTGTATTGCCTCACTTATGTTGAAAATATTGCTCTTATTATTTACATATGAAGGGGAACTTTGGCACAACAGTTTAGTGTGATGTGTAAGGCCTGATACTTATTATTGACCCCGACCCTAATAATGGATTTGACCCTTTCCTCAACCCTGCTTTATAGTATTATGGTGCCTTTATCTTTTACGCATGCAGGTCAAACTCAAAGAGTTGTTATTACAAGCTACTTTGTTCATTTTCTTCTTATGCCAAATGTTAAAAACTGCCACACTTACGTTTTTTAAAACTCACACTGATTAGAAAAAGTACATCCTTGTCAGCATGTTAGGGGTCTTTTCTCAAGCTGAAAACTCTTCAATCATAAAAATGAAGGGAATAATTTCTATACTACCCAGTCTTTCTCTATCCCTATATCCCTTGTAAATACATCCGACTTCAATGTCTACATCTAATTCCTTTACATTAGATTTCGTTCATATAATTTTCAAGTAAACATGGGATTTATTTGATGCCATATATTTCACAATGTGTTACGTGATGACAATGTAAATGATTTCATATATCTTCTCGCCCAATTGATAGGAGCACCAAGAGCTTGCTGAAAGGGTGATGGTAACTCGGCTTCACCTTTATGGTAAATGGGTCAAGGTAATAGAATTCAAAAACACACTATGATATCCAAGGCAAGTAAAATCTTTTAGGAAAAGGTTATGTTTTTAAATTTATAACCTTTCTCCACCTCTATCATTTTATGCAGAAATGTAATCATGCTGAGATATATCAAGAAATCTCTGATGAAAACTTGGAGTTAATGAGGGAACGGCTCATGGAGACAGTAATATGGCCCTCAGATGACACAAACATAGAAACAATTGGCTAATAATTCAAGATCATTCATCTCAAATTTGCCCTTTCTGTCTTCAACCTCTTCCTAGTCTAGGTATATTTTTGGTTCAATACCAATCTGTTTTGTTTCCAAAAGTGCCATTTATGTAATACAAATTCTCAGTTTTACGTTATGTAAATTGTGTATATATCTATACTTTTTTAAATACATAATCCATTATTTCGATAGTTTGGGATTAAGGATTTGCAAGTGGGTAAAAATACTAGGCATTTGCGATTTGCTAAGATTGTTTGCAACCAATTTCTAGATTACAAGCCTTATCAGCTTCCGAATTCTTTGGAAGTGATAGTACTTATCAAAAGTATTATGCAGGGGACAAACTTGCCAGTTGCCAGGTGTCAACTACCATTAGTAGTGTCGACCAATTTTCATACAAATAAGTAGACTATTGCATCCACCAGAAATTAATCATTACTTTTCAAGTGTGTTGCAAAGAATAAACTTAATTGAAAATTTCAATATTGAAACCACGGACTTCTTGATATTTTACTGCTTTTTTTTTTTTTTGGTACAAGATAACGATAGATTTACACAATTCACATGAAAAAAGTTCTAGTACATATATTAGACTATAGTAGAAACTTTTTTGAATTATTATCTAAATTATTCGACCTCGAATTCAGTGTGACAATTACAACTTAAAACATTAATCAAACTACTTTCTTTAGTTCTATCAAGTTGAACTTTGTACTATAAAATATTTTATAGGCAAACATAACCTGGAATCGAATCTTGTGAAGTAGTCTCTTATCTTCCCAGGTGTAACCGTGCGTTTCAGTTTAAATACAATTGAATATGCTTTTTCCATGTCAACTCAATTCAAACCAACACCGTCACAATTGGTGGCGTCGAACATACTAACAGAAAAATTATTTGTAACTTAACGGAAAGAGGTAAAAAGGAAGAAAAGTAAAAGGAAAATAATAGAATATGAATTCTATATTTCATTATGTTTTAAATCGGTCGGACGACCTTGTTTAGCCAGTCCAAACAGCTGCCCAGCAAAGCCTCAAACACAACATTTGGAGCGATTGACTCTCAATACATGTCACCTCACTTTCTTCGCCGACGTGTGACTTTTTTCCCATCAAGGATAATGCAACGTCATCCTGAAAGAACCCAGGACGATTATTACATCACATTTTCCATGCCGAAAAGGAATATTCTCCATCTTATAAATAGATCATCTTACTAAAACCATTATATTCTCCATTATCTGAGCTTGCTGCTACTCTACCAAATCCTCTCCGGTCAGAATTGTATCCTATTCACCAACCCCCTAATCATCAAATCACCTTAGGCTTATACAGTGACTCTCAGAACCATGGTTCACACGATTGCCTCTTCGAATCATCGTACTTCATCCACCTCAGATACAAATCACCATTTTCATCTTCTAATAAACTCATTGTAATTTTATATTGTCTTTCGTGTAATAGAAAATAATTTTATCTCTTAGATACAAATAAAAATATATAAAACTCATTTTTTTTTTCTCCTCTTCATATGCTCCACATGAATCTCACACATTTTTATATGTATATAAAATATAACTTCATCTCCTATAATGTAAAAAAACATCAAACCCATTTATATTTACCGTCTAAAAGAATATGTATAAGAGTGTTTCTTCAATTCGGCCCAGTCTATGGATTGAGAACAAGCTTCGTTCATAAATAGAAAATCAAAACACAGCCCATTTTACACAACTCAAAATTTCTTTTTATACCAGGAAGCTAAATTTGAATATGCTGCTGGAGCATCATTAATACGGCGGAAAAAAACGATGAATGAACAGAGTTGCTTAATCTGCATTTTTGGCCAATCTGTTTATCTAAATCTGTAAATGTGTGCTTTCAGCTGATCACATATGTTCCACACAACATAATATATTATACGAGAAATATTTTTAACATCTGAGACATATAAGCATTCTCATAGTGATTTTTTTGTTTTTTTTAGAGGGGGGGGGGGGGGGGGGGGGGAGGATGCTGTTTTTCCATTTTCAAGAATAGAAAGCAAAAAATAAAATAAAATAAAATACTAACCATTCATGACTTATCCCTGCGCCCTCAACACATATTGCCGACCACAACCACCACCCATCATTGTCATTGACTCATTGTCATCCCCCCATAAACATTTGTGAACTTTTCTATCTAAATTGACAAAATATTAAGCTTCCTGAAAAAGTTGTTCGTAAACAAAATATTGGAATATAAAATACATGACAAACAAGCACCGTTGAAGCCAAGTGGGCTACAAGCTTTACTGACCATAGATCAAGTAATTTATTGAACCAGCACAAGGAAAAAAAAAAATTCTTACAAGGCATTCATCAATGCCAAAAACATCCTCAAACACTACACCTTGAAATGTTGCTTACATGGACAATTCCGCTATTTGTCAATATGCCTGAACCAGAATTAAGTTGAACTTGATGCTAAAATTGACACTTACTACTCATATCTTACAACACTAAGGCCTGTAAATCTACCATGATCATCTGATTTACATAAAGTAACACAATCTACGCAATATGAAAATGAGATTTTGACAATAACCTGGTCAAGAGTTGTCACAGAATCAAAAGCTCTTACACTGCTCCGACTGGTTAAAACGAGAGAGAGTATATCTCTAAATTGGTCCTTCAAAGATTGGTGTGTTACCACCTTAGTTCTCCAAAGATTCTTGTAACCAAATTAGTCCTCAAAGATACAAAACAGTTATCAAATTCGTCCTTTTGTGTCAGCACTAAAGTCCTCCATCAAAACAAATGTGGTGACATTTTAGATATTCGAGAGACAATTTTGATTACAAAAAAACTTTGGAGAACTAATGTGGTCACACCGGAATCTTTGGAGGATCAATTTAAGAGTTTACTCAAAGAGAAACTAAAGCAATTTGATACACCTGCAAAGGAAACATGAAAAAAGAAAGCAGCAATTTGACACATTAGAACAACAATACCATCTAGTCAAGAAACTTCAGGGGAAACATATAATATTGGTAAACTCATACCAGAAGTGGCAAACAATGCTAGGTGAAAGAAAAAATAGCATTGAAAAACATATATTGAAACGTACCACATTGAAAGCTGATGCAGAAAGCAGGATATCACATATGTATATAAAAGGTGTGAACAGGAGGAAATAAATTCTATCAACACCCCTCCACTTTGCTTGCAGCCATAGGGCTTGGAACAGAGGATTTCATTACATTAAGCTATCGCCAAAAGTAATAATCTGCTCAAGTGCAAGTGTTGCACGAAGCTGCATCAACAGAAGAAAATTTACCAAACCACTAAATGAAAGTACAGAACAACCAATTCAGGGATGAAGATTAAAGGACCTTCACATCCATGCAAGAATCATTGACCATTCTCTTTATTTGAGAAACTATGCCAAAACTACGCAGGTTTACAATACGACCAAATGCACCGGGACTCTTAGGAAAAGTCAGATTTACTATGACCCAAACAGCAGCTGTTCGTAACCGACTGTCATTACTCTGTAAAAACTGGTTGAAGAAAGAGTGAGGCCCATTCTCTTCTTTAGGAAAGAGTAGCTGCATTACAGTTTCCTTATGAAACTCATTTCCACTTGCAATATTACTGAGAACATACATCCCCTACATGGAAGAGAAAACCAAAAGACATAATCAGCTTAGAACAAAACAACAACAAAATCAATCCTTTCCTTTTCATATGTTAATCATATTAGTTTGTTATTTCAAGCAAGGTATTGACAAATAGAAATGACACTCCATTTAGACTTCTAAAAAAATGATAAATTACAGCCAAACAAGATTGTAACTCAATTGACATTGGACCCAGTCTCTAAGACTAGGGAGGGATAATGATACAAGACGTTCAATCCCTTACCAAACAACTTGTCCCCTCCCCTACCTAGGTGCTTGCACCTCCAATGCACCAAATAAAATATGAAAAATTACAACAGAATGATATTAGTAGAATGTGGAAATCAACAATTTTGCTCTAAACAACAATAATTTCAAATGTTAACTCCAACCTGTATCCCAATTTGAATTCTTGAAGATTTTCGTAATTGCCTTCCTACAGCATCTAGTATGATACCATCTTCAGCAAAAGCATATTCAACAGAGTACATACATCCATCAACAAAATTGCGAACAAGGGCCAGAGCTTGGTCTTGAACAGAAGGCTCAGGATCTGCAAAGAATACACAATCAAGATATTTGATTTTATGTACCAATTAGTCAGAAATAATCTTAAGTGTCTATACCACAGATAAGGCTAGCCATTGAAGATGCAGTCAACTCCACGAAAATTCGTTCCTTGCACATTTTATCTGCAAGGAATACCATGTTCCTCAAGGCCCATACAGCATTTAACCTTAAAGAGGAATCCATGGACTTTGTCAATTGTACAAGCTCTTCCCCCCCCCCCCCCCACACACACACACACACACACACAAACAAAAACAAAAAAAAATGAAAATAATAATAATAAAAAAAGTCTTGTGGAGAAAAGGACATTAGTCTAATTAAAGGTAAGCTTCTAATTATGATTATTGATATGATAATATATATTACAGCCCTTGTGATGACCTCATTTAATGCCAGAAAAAACACTTTTAGTGCTCAATAGTTTGAATTTGTTTAACAACATGCCGGTGCTTCTCATAGCACAACCTTTTTATATGAATTGGACAACGTATAAATGTCTTAAACTTAGATCAAAAGAGAATAACATCTGAATTATCATCAGAACAGCATACACATAGTCCCATATAAATTTATATAAGTAACAGATATATATTCAATTCATTTTCTGCCTTGTACCCTTCCGACTAAATATCAGAGTCAAATCCTATAGCATGATGGCATTTCCTTTTTGCAGTACTCAGTATAGCATCTGAACAGCATATACCTAGTCACATAAATTTATATGAGTAACAGATACATATTCAATTAATTTTTTGTCTCCTACCCTTCAAACTCAAAAGTTTAGAATCCAATCCTTTAGTGCAATTGGCATGTTCCCTTTTTCAATCCTAGCAATACTCAGTATAACATAACTAGGAGAAAAATGAACATTTTAGATACAATAGAAATACCTGAACAGAAGTAGAAAGATCAGAGAGAAGCCGAACCAAAGGACAGACAACCCTTTCATTCATAAAACGACCTGCACTCAAATTCTGAATGGAATTTTATGAGAATTTAGCTATACATTGCAATAGCATAAAATACTTCAAGTGCCAGATGTCGCCTCATGTTACAGACCTTGATTGAGCGCGAGACACTTCTTAAGCAAATGCAGGCTGCAGTTCGGACATTGGCATCATCATGAGTTAAGGCATCAACTACTAGATTTAAAACCTGTATTCACAAAAGTGTTAGAAGTTGAAAGTGGGCATAGGATTTAAATACACAGTTTAGTGGTGCAAGTCTTTTTTAACTTCATCCATCATGAGATTGAGAAGAAACACTAGAATTGGCTCTAGTCATCTATGAGGAAAAAACATGGTTAAGCACTGATTCAAATGTGTTCATAAATGGTAACTTGTGATGGTATAAAACATTATGTCAACAGCAATAAATGCCCAAATTCAATACCACCTATAAATAATATTCACAGATTCCAAAATGACAAGATGCCACGCGAAAAGGAGAGCAGGGGAAAAAAATCTGGAAAAGGATACTTCACGCCTAGTAGTTTCAGTTTTTCCTAATTAGCACCCTTCCACATTATTTTTACATTATCTCCAATCATAAACCTCCTGTTACCTTTCATCCTAGTGTGCACCCTTGTCTATGGTATTATAAAAAAGGTAATAAATTAAGAGCCAACAACTCTTATATATAATGAATGACTTGCTATAGAAATGGCTGACTGCAGCTTTTTCTTTATAACTTTCATATCTTGTTTTTGCAGCAGGGAAGATAATCATGCATGTAAATAAAATATGCTAAAAAAGGTTACAAGCAACAGACCTGCAATGAAAAAAAACTGGACCTGCAGCACTCCAATTTTGAGCAAAGATCAGCCATGGCTAGAAATATCCCTTCAAGCCGTCTAGGATGTAAAGGTCGCTTTTGTAAGAGACTGTTGAACTTGTCAATAGCATTTGCCTCAAATGCTAACTTCTGCAAATCTTCCTTCTCTGCAATTAAACTCGAGAAAGCAAAAGAAGCTTCATCTCCAACTTGACCAGAATCATCAAGGAGCTCTAGCAAAATGTATATCAATTTGGTTTTGATTCCTATGTCTTGGAGATAGCAAGAAGAAGCATTCTTCACACATATCAAGCACAAGCAGGCTAGTAACCTTGTACGAGGATATCTGTCCTTAGTTAATTCAATTAGAGAACTTAAAGCTCTTCCACTATGAAGCTCCATAAATTTAGAAACAGCTTCAGGGTTGTTTTTGATAATTGCAGCTAAGGACTCTAGACTAGCATCTCGCTGAGTTAGAGAACCATCAAGAAGGCTAGTAAGCTTCTCTAAAACACCAGCATAGCATAATATATTTTGTTCCACACTTATCTCACAAGAATGAATAACAATCCCTGCACCTAGTCCAGTAAGATTTTCATTCTCACTTTTCAATAGTGAAAGAAGAAATTGCATGTTTTCCTCTTGAAAAAAATCATACTTCGGAGCTAGTTTTGATTGATAAATCATTCGTAAAGAACGAGCAGCAGCATCTACAACCTGAAATGAAGGAGAGAAAGAGCCATAAAATGGCATTCGAAATGAATATGGCATTAAAAACAGAGAAAAATAATAAATAATAAAATTGACTTTCCTATTTATATCTTTCCAACAAACTATTGCAATCAATTCACTGCTTGAATTTTCACATCCGTTACATTCCCTCTCCACCCTACCACGCATTTCCCTAATCCTAAGTTTCATATTTATCAGTACGCAAGAAATATAAAAAGTTTGCACCGTGGCACAACCACACAAATAACCTGCTCTACCAAAAACCAATAAGCATTCTATCCACAAACTGGATAGAACACACCAATAATTCATCATTAAACAAAAACATCCAAAAGACTATATTCCTACTTATTAATTCAGTATAAGGAAAAATAATAATAAATAAATTGAAATCCAAAATTTATACCACTGAGCAAGTACTAGGGAGCAGAAATAATAATACCAAAACCATAATTAAACTCTAGAAAAGGTAATTGAATTTTAAATGAGCCCTTAGCTGAGAGCATAACAAGAAGCACTAGTCAGCTAAAGATAAATACTTAACTACTTTGAAATGAAACAAAATCGTAACAGCTTATAATTGCCATCTTCATTGAATATTCACGAAGAAAACCGAACAAATTGGGGATCAAACAATCTACATTTCTTTAAATTAAAAAATAAAAATAAAAATCAAACCGATAGCAATAATCATAAACACTCAGTGATCATTCTAGAAGTTCTGAGCTTGCATCAATTTTCAGAAAAACCAAACAAGAAAGAAAAATAGAAAAGGAAAAGGAAAAAGGAAAAAACAGGTTGAAATCAATGGAATTCACCTTCTCGTCGGGAACGGAGAGGAGCCTAACCAAATGAGGGAAAGCTCCAGCATCGAGGACGGCGCAGACGCCGGCGTCGACGCGGCAGGCGAAGCTGCCAAGTGCGGCGGCGGACTGGACAATGAGGTCGGGAGTTGACTTGGAGTCGGCGAGTGCGGCGGAGATGGCGGGGACGGCACCGAGCTTAATGTAGGAGAGCTTCTTGGTCCGGTTGCCGATGATCTGGTTCTTCACATCTCGGATGGCTTTGAGCTTGACCTCGCAATCAGTGGAGACGAGGCGGTTCAGAATAGTATCGGGGGAGAGGCGCGCGGAGGAGGATGTGGACGTCGTTGGCATGGCTGCGACGACGACGACGGCAGTGGCGGAAGCTCATGCGAGGCGGAGGAGGAGATGCTAACTTCGCATACCACAAACCCACTATGGAAGAGAGAGAAGGAAGAGAGCCTTTTGTCTTTTTTTTTTTTCTTTTTTTTAAATATTTTCTTAACAATATTGCTATTATTATTATTATTATTCATTTTATTATAGTAACTTTGAAATTTATTTTTAACTTTTAATTTTTGTGGTAATAATGGATTGAGAGTCATGGATTTAAATTTAAAACAATTTCATGATTTTTAAAAAAATTAGTTTTAAGGCTTCAATATTTCTACAATGATGTCATCTTGGGTTTAAACATTAAGAAATTATTATAATCTTAAAATAAATTATAATTATAAAAATACTTTAATTTTTGCTCGAAACAACATCATTTTGAATTTAATGTAAATAATTTATCCACACTGCAAAAATAACAAACCCTATTTTTAATATGTTTAAAAATAATTGAAATAAGTTATTTTTTAGTTTTCATTCTAAAATAAAAGTTATCTACTTATCTTAAAAAAATTAAATATACTTTTTAATTAATTTTTCTCAAGAAAAAGCAAAAAATAAACTGTCTTAATTTGGAATCTAGCGATAATTTAGAAGGTCCTGCGCTTTTGAAACGGAGGGATGAGAGGATATAGGGGATTGAGATTTGTACGTTACATATGTCACATTCGCATGTAGGTTTTTGTGTAATAAAATTGGAAGATTCAATAATTGAGGTTTTTTAATAAATGTTTTAGGAAAAAACTACTCTCATGTAATATTAAGAGTAGTTTTATCTCTAATAGATTTTTAAAAAAACTACTCAATGGGTGCAGCTCAGTTGGTAACTTGGCGCTGAGTTAGTGGAGTTGAATATGTGTTCGATTCCCGCTGAATGTATTCTTGGGGAAGGGGTTGAACCTTTAGCCATCACTGTTCCCCCGCACTCCGGATTAGTCTCATAGCCGGCTCAAAGAGTCGAAGCTCGTGGAGATATCGGAGGGAGCAACTCGTCTCAAAGAGATAATTAGGGTTGGGTAACTCTAATTTTTTTTTTTAAAAAAAAACTGTGAAATTTTTGTTTGTCTATTTTTCCTCTCTTTTTTAATGGCTGGCCGCACCACCTGTGTGTCTATAACATGTGAGATTTTCTCTAATAGATTAGATAAACCCAATGTTTTATTATAAAATAATTAGACACTGAATTTACGATGCTTGTTTGAGTATTTTTGGTAAATATTTTTTAATTGAATTTTATGACGGAGGTCAAAATATAGTAAGAAAAAGTTTATTTCAGAAAATAACCAATAACAATCTGTAATTTTATTCAGAAAAGAATCATTATGGTTATAGATCAAATACTAGAAAACCCAATCTTGATATTACGCTATGACTTTGCTTCCAATCAAATAAAATGATAAAAGCAAGTTAGGAGGAAACGTAGACTACTTCCATTGTTTGCTTCAACTTTTTCCTAATTCTTCAGTTTCTCTACAATATATGAACATTTCATATGCTTGTTCTTCATTCCATTCAGTGGCCGAAAGTAAGAACTTGAAACTGCCTAACCCAAGATAGTTTGATAAATATGGAAGTCCCTTAACTATTATCGTAGTAAAGCTATTAACTACGTTTCACTTGCTCCATATTCACAAACTTGGAATTCAAGAAAACTCGTATTCATCGTGTCCAAACAAATTTTCAAAGATAGGATCATTTCTAATAAAATTCACATATCCTTACACTCGTAAAATAATAATTTGAGCATCTAAATTGTGGCGTGCCTACCTAAAAATTACTCTTAAGCTACTCTCCATTGATGACTCGTGCAAGAACAAGAGCCTGATAGTGCACGGATGATACAGGAAATTTAAAAATATTAAAAAACTAAAATAAAAATACAGTGCAGCCCCTCACATGCATAGTACCGATATTGCACAGATCCACCAGATCCTGGAATATATTGCTGCAACTTACATGAACAAAGACTGAGCAGCTAATTACAAACTCTCAAAAGCTAAAGTTCGTGAGTTTCAGGAGACCATATCATCTTCATCAACTTCTCCTGTTTCATTGAACATGTACTGATTTTGATACTCCATCAAATATTGTGTTGATCTTTTGACATCCAAAAACAGATTGTACACCCGATTTATATCTTCCATATCCACCATTGTTCCCTTTCGCTTTTGGCATGCCAATGCAGCTGCTGTGATTAGATGAATAGCATATCTCAACGATGTTTCTACACCTATTTTTGTTAACAAACACTTTGCACCTTCAGCCATTTCTACATCCTCCTCTTCGCATCTGATGTCCAGAATTTTGCGAATGTCATCCTCTGTATAAGGTTGAGTAGAGATGATGAGTAGGCGATCAAGCAGATCAATGGGAATCCCATGTGGGGATTTGTAGGTTGTGCCTCGAATCGTTGTGATGCCTCTGTTGGTAGCAACAACTAATATCGGAGCCATCTCATTCTCCAGAGCTCGATTGAGAAATGAAAAGCACTCTATGTCCAGCATGTGCACCTCATCAATGAAAAGGACACCAGGCACAATCTCTGCCTTTCCTTCCTCTCTCCACTCTGCCACTTTGGTGTCAATTTGTTCTCTGACTTCCGCACGAATTTCACCTGTATCACCAGTGAAAAGAGCCAGAAACCCCTGTGTCCTGAAATTGACGGAACAGAATTGGATGATAGAAAGAGAACTAAGAAGTGACCTTTACAGCAATTTAAAAACCCTAATCAACAAGTTAAAAGTGAATCCCCTTCATAGACAAAGGACATAAACAGCTAAATGATGTATAATAAAGATAAGTTGGAAAACTTGATAAAAGCCACCTCATAACCATTCAACATCATAGAGTGGAACAAAAATGGCGCTTCATTAAATCATTAACTGCAAAGGACACGAGAGTCATATATCAAAGCTTTCATTATTGATTTTGTTAAACAGTAATCTCAACTAAGAGAATAGTGCACTTGCTAAAGTAGCACAAAAACTGACCACCGTGAAAACAAGGCCTCCCTTGGTAAGTTTACATTCCACTACCACAAGTGAATTTTTAGTACTCTTGTAATACATACTTCCTCACTAAAATTATAAAATATGGACCCGTGACATTAAAAATAAAGAAACGGGTGAAATAAATGCAGTCAGGTGAGTAATATGTTTATAATTTTAGTAGGTGTAGTATTGTGTTCTCAATACTATATGGGTACTGAAAATGTATCCCACTATCATACCAAGCACATTAGAATATTCCTCATATACTCTAGAAGCAAATAAGATGACGAATCAAAAACATGAAGAACACAAAAGTTTCAGCAGAGATCTACCCACCAATTCAATAAAGGCACATAGCAATATTTTTATTATGCGCTTGGGATAACTTATTTTTTATTTAAAATACTTACATCAAAAAGAGTACTTGTAATGTTTTTTCTAAAGATTTTTCCCTAAAAATTAAGCTAATCCAAAAATATGCCATTAGTTCCACAGCTCCATGATGTGGTTACTTCCATTAAGAAATATAAGATATAGAACGTGGAAATCCTTTCCTCTAAAACCAGCATTGTCTAATAACAAGTTAGTTAACTGAATGATGATAACATAAGTGACTGAAATAATCACGACATTCTCAAGACCAAAACGTTGATCAAAAGAGTGAAGTTAACTACCTGCTATTAATAACATCAATCTCATGAAGAGTAACGCAATGCACAACCTCCTTCCTTTTCTGCAACTCACCATCAGGGCACTGCACGAACTTCACCTGAGGTCCCATGGCATCGAAATCCCTCGACCGTGAGAACGACCTGCCAAGCTTCGTGATCTTCCCTGAGGCCTTGTCGATGGCGATAACGTCGCCGCTCGTCACCTTCTCCTTCCCCAGCGACTCAATCATCTTCGCCCCTAGGTCGTACACCGTCTCCATCTCCGTCGTCTTCAGTGTCAACTTCCCGGTCTTCACGGCGGCTCCGGTCACCGCCGGACGGTCGATCTGGACCTCCACGACCTCGCCTTCGATAACCTCCGTCTCTTCCTTGATTCGGACGCCGATTGCCTTGCGGAAGGCCTGGGTGAGGGCTTCGGTCTTCGACATCTCGAGGGAGAAGAGCTCGCTGCCGGCCATCATGGCGAACGGAGTTTCGAGGCCGAGGGACTTCGCCATTCCCATGGCGATGGCGGTTTTACCGGTACCGGGCTGTCCGGCGAGGAGTACGGCGCGACCGGCGATCTTGCCGTCCTTGATCATCTGGAGGATCACGCCGGCGGCTTTTCTGGCTGCGGTTTGGCCGACCATGCCGTCGGAGACAGCGCGGGGCTCGAGGGAGGAATCCAGGCCGAGGCCGCGGATATGAGAGTGAGCGCCTATGCGCTCTATGCGGGTCAGGTCGCGGCTCTCCGATAGCTTCAGCTCCGCCATGGTGGCGGCGGTGAATTTCGGAAATTGGGGTTTTAGGTTTGGACTGTGTGCCCTGCTAATGTTAATGATTGAGGCAAAAATTATGTATTACGTTTAATTTTGAAATGTATCTCCGTAATGAAATACATTTAAAAAAATTACAATGTGCAATATCCGTAATTTTGAACTAGTTAAATACATGCTATTAAATTTTTTATACAAAATAATTTATTAACATTACAATGTTACAAAAAGATGCTTGAGGACAATATAATTAATGTAATTAGCTTCATTTGAGTCAAAAGATGCGTCAATTGATGTGGCAAGACTTGAAGAAATGAAGGGAAGTGGCGGGTTACATGTGCAACACGTCATTTGGGCTGGCGGGATTCATGCAGCATCCGACGTGGCTTCTGGTCACGTCTTCCTCAGTGGCGAGAGACTAATGTATTTCGTTATGGAGATACATTTCAAAATTAAACATAGTACTGAGTATATTTCTTTCGAAATTTTTTAAATAGGATAGATTATTATTAACAATTGTTTTTTACTCCCAACTTTATTATTATTGGATTAAAATCTAAACAATAATTCTCATTTAATGTTATTTTACGATTGTTGATTTAATTTTGAGTCCAAGTTAACAAAATTAAATTAATAGAAATAGGTAACAAGAAAAAAATTGCTTTATAAATAACTACATTCAACACACTGAGAAAAGAAAAATAATACAAAAAGACAAATGAAAGCCAATTTAAATATTGGGCTAATTACTTCTTATGCAGCACCAGAAGAAATTAACTTTGCAGCTGAAACAAATGAGAAAAGCGGTTGCGGGAAAATTATTTCCCATTCCGAAGGAGATCTACTCCCTTAAATATTACACCGGAGCTTCTTGGGGTTCCAAATTTGGGATCTGAGCTGTATGAGGTGTACGACGGAGGTGCTGAATAATATCCTTGAAGTTGAAGCAGAAGGAGGCAACCAGCAAAAGCAGGACATTGATGATACAACACCACCAAAACTCAGTGATAAGAATCCACGTCAGTGTCTCACATCCAATTACTCCAGAAACGTGGAAAATGATATTGGAAGTTGCCAAGTTGTTCTCAGACTCACCTACGGTTCTCAGACTCACCTACGGTTCTCAGACTCACCAAAACCAAAGTTATATCTTGTCATACCCTTGCAACCATAGGTGAGTCTGAGAACAACTTGGCAACTTCCAATATCATTTTCCACGTTTCTGGAGTAATTGGATGTGAGACACTGACGTGGATTCTTATCACTGAGTTTTGGTGGTGTTATATCATCAACGTCCTGCCTTTGCTGGTTGCCTCCTTCTGCTTCAACATCAACGATATTATTCAGCACCTCCGTCGTACACCTCATACAGCTCAGATCCCAAATTTGGAACCCCAAGAAGTTCCGGTGTAATATTTAAGGAAGTAGATCTCCTTCTGAATGGGAAATAATTTTCCCGCAACCGCTTTTCTCATTTGTTTCAGCTGCAAAGTTAATTTCTTCTGGTGCTGCATAAGAAGTAATTAGCCCAATATTTAAATTGGCTTTCATTTGTCTTTTTTTATTATTTTTCTTTTCTCAGTGTGTTGAATGTAGTTATTTATAAAGCAATTTTTTTTCTTGTTACCTCTTTCTATTAATTTAATTTTGTTAACTTGGACTCAAAATTAAATCAACAATCGTAAAATAACATTAAATGAGAATTATTGTTTAGATTTTAATCCAATAATAATAAAGTTGGAAGTAAAAAACAATTGTTAATAATAACCTATCCTATTTAAAAATTTTCGAAAGAAATATACTCAATCATTAAGGCAAATAAATTTATTTATTGTAATTTAATTAAATAATTACGTAAATATGACAGTTTGGGCCATATTTACGCATTTATTGCACACTGTGACGCCCCACTGGGGTGTCTCTCATGAGGTGGTGACACGTGTCACTTGTTTTTTCAAAAAAAAATTTAATTTAATCATAAAACTTCTAAAGGCCATAACTTTTGACTCGAGTATCCAAATCAGATAATTCTTTTTTTGATTCCACATAACTTTTCGAGATCTACGCAATGATATTTCATTTGATATATTTTATTTCTTACCAACATAATTTAAATTTAAATCAGGTAATCTTTCTTTCTTAGATATTTAGAATATTTACCGGAATAATTTTTTGATGCCTAAGGTTTCCAAAAATATTTTTCTTAATTAATGCAGAATATTTGAAAAGGGATTTAATAACATAGTTATTGTAATTACTGTTTCATTCATAATTAATGATTCTTTATTTTACTTAATTAACCGTTTTTTCTTAGGTTATTATTTATTATGATTATTTCATTAATTATTTGTATCAAAACAAGAAATATTCATTAATAACAAAATATTTAACACGTGTTTTATTAGCTTCTTTATATTTAACACTAATAGTAATTTTTGTTTTTATAAGTGGTAATTAATAAAATCGTAATAACTTTTAAAATTATACAATGCTTTTAAAAACCATGTTAGGAAACTAAGTTTTTAATATTGAAAATTATAAACATTAATCTGAAATAGTAATTTTGATTAACATATTTATAATAATTACAATTATTAATTATTGAAATCGTAATAATTGTATTAATAGATATATAATTGCAGATTTCATGTTAATGAATAAAACTTCAAAAAAGCATATTAAGTTAAATTAATAACTATTAAAAAAGTAATTAAATAGCCATTACAATTTATTGAACTAGTCAAATACATGCTATTAAAGGCAAAAAAATTAATTTATTACTTTTTTAATAAAAAATTACGAATAATTTGTCGTTTTGCAAAAAATTACGAATCTATAGCACCCAAACACGCCCAACCCATCAATCTATAAAGAAATGAAACAACATGATATAATTAAAAATTTATAAACACATAATCATATTCATAATTGAAGTGTCAAAACTTACTGCTCGTCCAACCCTGGCAGCTTTCCTGGCGACAAACCGTTTCCCTCGCTGTCTGTACCAGTGTAGGTACTCATGGTTCGGGGACATCAACCCGACCAGTGCAGGGGGAATACGTATGGACGTATCCCTGATCGTCCATCGATGTATGAAGGGCCTCAACTTACGCTCCCAATTATCATCCTTCTTCCCTCGCAGAGTTAGATCATGAACACCCTTAAGCTTTCTTGGTCTCCGCGGTATGGGCTCATCAAAACCAAATTGTCGCATACATCGATCCGGTTGAGCGTACTCAACTGTGTGGAAGCAAATGATAGGAGTAATGGCCAACCATAAGTACCGCTCATGATCAGATACAAACAATGTTGTATGGTACTCTCCGTATGGCTGCCACACAACCTACATATAAAAAAATTAGTAATTCAGAAAACACAATTACCACCAACTATAATATGTAAATAATAAAAAACAATTAATAATAGATATCACAAACCTCGTCTCTATAAAGCGTGTCAAGGTTTGCCCGATACCAAGACTGCTCATGTGGCTTAAAGGGAGGTAGGGAATTAAACCTGTAATGGAATGTGTAAACCATTATCATACTCATTCGACAAATGAACATGTAATAAATTAGTCAATATGAGTTAATAAAATATACCTGTGACCAAAATGCCACTCCGGGTGGGTAGGCTGCGGGATAGGTGGTGCAATGGGGGGGGGGGGAATCTAATCCAAGCCCATATCTGCAGTAATACGTGACAACCACCCAGATTTACAGTCCGCGGGTTTGTTGCCACACATAAATGTCTAAAGAGATGTAACGATATATATATATATATATATATATATATATATATATATATATATATATATATATATATATTCCATAACTCATAATCGTGGTAAGTGCATCATTTGGGGACACGCGGTCAACATTTGGGGACACGCGGTCAACTCTCTGACACATTTTTTGGACACGCAATCAACTTTTTCGGACACGCGGTCAACGCTCGGACATGCTTGGACACGTTTTTTTTTTAAATCCTAATTTTATTTTGTTAACTAAATATAAAAGAAATAATTTATAAATTAATTTTTTTCTGTTATGAAATTTAACATGAAAAATTAACAAAGTACGAATAATTATTCATATTTATATTCACTACTAAAAAAAGCTCTATTTTCAACGGAATTTCTCCGTTGGAAATTATGAAAATTCCGTTGAAAAATCATTTTTGACGGAATTTTCGGCAGAATTCTGCTGTTGGATAACCCTTCGTCGAAAGGCAACGAAATTTTTTTTTCCGTTGAAATTTACAATGGAATTTTTTTTTCCGTTAAAATTGACAACGGAATTTTTTTCCGTTGAAAACTTCAACGGAATATATTCCGTTGGAAGCCTTACTTTTCCGTCAATAAATAAAGTCATTAAATAATATTAAAATAATAAATTCCGTCGAAAATTTCAACGATGCACTTAAGCAAACGAATTATAAGTCCGCAATTTATGTAAGCCTATGTCTAGATCATACATAAATTGTTATTCTACCCTTGTCTGAATTAAAACCCCAATATGTCTATTGTGACTTCTAACCCTCAAAGTCCTATAATTTAGAATGGCCTGTTCTAAACAGGATATGGAAGAATTAAACTAAGTAGAGTAAAACAAACTAACTAATCAATTTATAAAATAACAATACAGAAAATAAAATAGGATTCACATCGGGTCCGTGATCCCAACTACATAAAGAAATTAGCCAGACATATTCATGTCTGACTTAAACAAATTAAAGAAATAAAAAGTATTCATGAAAACAATAAACAAAAAGAAGAAAAAGATGAAGTCTTGATCTCCAGCGTGAGCCTCCAAGAATTCTCTCCAGCCAAAGATGTTTTGCTCTGAGGTCTGAGTCTCTATTTATAGAGTTTATGCCTTGCTTAGAAATCTTGATCAAATCTTCATATTGTATCTTGGTCCAATACAATCTGAGGTAAGTTAAAGATTTTCCCTCTGATTCAAATCTTGATCGAATCTTCAATAGAATCTTCACTAGAATCTTCACTAGAATCTCTAATCATATCTTTGAATCAATCCTTCAAATCTTCTAATCATATCTTTGACCAAATCCTT